GACCACTCCCGTGTGTTTTGGAGCAACATGGGGGGATTGTGACCTTTAGATGAGCTAAAAATTAATCTTTAATATCTCAGAAAGCAAAGCAGCACTAACGAAAATTTTAACGGCACAAACCAGCACTAACGGAGCACTAACCATTCAGACTAGTTGCTTTAATTTTGGAAGTGGGTGGGGTGTCAGCTTCACTCAGCTAGGACAACCTCGTATGACTATTTGCTCTACATTTCAGGAGCTTTCTCAGTTCAAACTAAATTGTAAAGCTTCCCAAGCTTTCCAGCTGTTCATCTAAAGGCAAGGGTGGCTCTTTTCTGGTTTCAAAATGCCTTTACATGATACAATGCAATGTTGAATCTAATCCCAAATAGGTTTTACACCAATAGGCAAAAACCAAAACATCTCAACCCTAACACTCAAGGAAAAGGATTTGCATGTGAGTTCAACTTGCACAAACAAAACAACTCACTGCAGTTTCAAGGCTTTTTTTTTTTATTTTTAAGATTGCAATTTGAAATGTTTCAGTTTATTATAACTTACTTGTCTTTTTTGGCTACCTCAGTTCTACAGTTCAGCTCAATAGAATTTATCAGCTTGTTGTTTAAAGCTCATCACTGCAAACTATGAAAACAAACATAAAACCGGTTATCAGTAATTATACGGTTCAGTTGGAAAGAGTTTACTTCGGTTGTTTTTCCCCAGATGTAGGTGATATCTGGAATGTGGGGTACGCACTCAGTGTAAACAAAAAACACATGGAAGTTCATCTGCAAACTTTACTCAATAAATGCATCAAAACTGATCCATTCACAATTGTTAAGACATTTTTAATGACGCACTATGTGAAAAAAGTGCAGATTTGGTTAATGTTTTTGTCTTGACATTACACGGAGTACCTTTAACTTGTAAACAGTTGATAGCAACATTCTTCTGAGTGCCACAGAGGTACTATAAAGAACCATTCCATAGTTGCAATGGTTCTTTTGACTCGTTTGAGAACCACAGACGTAGACAATACGTCATCACTAGTTTGCTCATTGCATGCAGATAAACATTACTTATAAAATAAATGTTAGTAAATCATTTACCTGCCCGTGTTGAAGTCATGCGACAGCTGTGATTTGATCTCAGTAATCCAGATTACAGATTAAAGAGCGCCGCACAGCTCCAACTGGATCCTGATGCTCGGAACAAACTCCGGAGCCGTTTGCGCGAACAGCTCGTGCCTCCCCACCGTCTCCAGTTCGCCTCCACTTCACTTGAACTGGTTTGTTTTGATTTCGTCCTCTGTTTTGTGGCAGTTTTTTTTTTTTCCAGAGCGCAGGCTACTACTGTTTAGAACCTCGTGTCGCGCACGCGCACAGCACCCACCTCCGTCGTCTTGAAGAAGTGCAGTCACTTCTCAAAATGCACAGCTTCCTTTAAAAAGGTCCTTAGTGCAAACTATGACATTAAACATAATGGTTATCCTGAGCTGGGTCAAATGGTGCACCCTGAAAGAGTTAGTTCTCCACATGCATATGCAATTCTGAAATGTGGGTATGCACTCAGTGTAAACAAAACACTCAGTTGAATCTGCCAAAAAGACAGAGATGACTGAGTCATGAGTAAATCAAGGAGAAAGTGCTGATGGAAATGTACGAGTGAGGCTGCAAAATTGGTTGAGTCCTGCTCCCAAACAGTTCTTCAATAGACGTTGACCTATTTTCAGTCACTTCAGCCGCTTGTGTAGGTTAATAAATGATGGTGGACATAATTTAATGAGACGTTAGCCATCAAGAGTGCAGATTGGAATATCTTGCAAAAGCTCTCGGCCTTGACCTCTCGAAGTGGCTTTAAACATCTGTTAAGTTCGTGGCAAAAACCAATGCAGACATGTTCCTGTTTTTAGTTTTCTACACCACTTTATAATCTAGATGTTTTTTTTTTCCCTACTTTTTCCTTTTGACCATCCTTGTGGTTGCCATTTTATTTTAATTTGTTAAAAAAAAAAATGCATGCCTCTTTTATGATTGTCTATTGTTGTCGTTCTCCTCCGTTGTCATCACTCTTTGTTAAAGAAATCAGGTCTCTCTTGTAAATGAGTCCCCGAGGCTCAATGGGACTAACCTGTCTAAATAAAGGTTGAATAAAAAATAAAGGATTGTTGTGCATTTTCATTTCATGACATTTGTTATGATGTGTAACCATAACAGGGTGGTTTTCTACAACTGAGAGCAGCTGATTTACATCTCAAAAGCTCAAATCTCAACTACAGCCCCAAATCCCAAATGAGTTGAAAAGGAGGTGCCGTGGATGCATTCTCGTCCAACTGGAGGCAGTGCTCGAGTGACTGACGGCAGAGATCTTGGAGGTAGCGGGAAACCGCTTGAGACAGCGGGAGGACCAAGATCAGCCCCCGGCACCTGCAGTTAAGTCTGCAGCAACAAGGGGCTTGGCAGGCTGCTGGGAGGAATAGTCATCGCTCAGGGAGAAGTTCTGCCCGACATTCAGGCAGTCCTGCTGCCCAAGAGGACAGAGAGGTCTGCTGGGTCTGGGTGGACGGATTGACATCTGTAGCCAGTTTCTCCGGATCCGCTGTGGGACGGACCGCTACAAGAAATCCTTCCTGCCCAAAGACATCAACAGAACAACTCTAATGAAACCAAGATGAGCTACAACATTTTCCCTTTGGGATTAATAAAGTATATTTGAATTTGAATTGAACTGAATTGCAATGAGTATCTTTAATGTTTTGCCATTTATGTTATTTTTTATTTTTATAAAAATGATGATCAACCGACTAACATTTCTATCGTTCTAAATTAACAAAAATCGACTTTGCTAAGAAAAAAAATCGTCTGGGGGTTTGTAGTAAAATTACTTTATTGAACAAATTTCATCAAAACCATCACAAAGCCCTGATGGGAGAGTCAGAGCGTGTCCAAATAGAAGATTTATTCTTCTCAGTGTGATCTTTTTCTTTTTCATGTATATTAATACAAGGAATTAGCTGAAAATAGTTATCAAAGCTGCAACACAAACTAAACCAAGTGGTAATGCTTGATGTGTTCACTGCTGAGCTTTTTCAAGCATACTATCAATGCATTGACGATATAACAGGACTAACGTGTATAATTTGTCTACTTTAATAAAAAAAATACTGTGTTCATCTAATTGGATCAAATACAAACCAAATAGCGTTTACACAAAATAATTCAGTACTCTGAAAAACGTTTGCCTTTTTGTTCCCAACATGATTCCTGCTTACTAATAAATAAGTCTTTGTTGCTAAATTGTGAATTCAAAATCTTGCACTGGTTTTTATTAATACAAGGCAAAGCTTTTCACACCAAAAATATTTTCTTATGTGATCCCGTCACTGCAGTGAGCTCTGTTCTGTGCTGGACACAAATTAAGACCATGACACACCTTTAGGATTAAAAAAATAAAAATAAAAATAAAAGCCCAATCCCAAATACATTAAAATCTGTTTGCACAAACACCAACTGTGCTCAAATTAGCACATTTGGCTAAAGAACTAATTTAAGTGACAACAGCAAATCAACAAAATATTTGGAAAAGGAAATAAAACTTACAGCAACACATTTGATTAAAATCCATTTCCTTAACCATGCTAAATATTTTACATCTAATTCAATTCTGCACATTGCCTAGGTGTTCTTGTTTTATTTGTACTCCCGAGGCGAGCTCAGATGTTGACAGAGTGGGCATGTTTCTTGCACAAAGGCTTGTCCTTTTTGGAAAAGAAGGGCTGACCTTCCAGACTGGCGGTGCAGACCTGCGGAGAGAAACGAACAGATGAAGTGGTTTTACATCACAAGAAGTATTTACACACGTGTTGCGGAGTGAAACCGTGGTCAGGACCTACCGCGCACACAAAACAGGTGTCATGCCAGGTGAACCCCAGAGCCTCCAGGAACTTGTCTCCCGCCTCGATGGGGAAGTCGCAGCCGTGGCAGGTAGTCCCAAACATGGTGTAGTAATCTGAATCGTGCATGAGCAAAACGTGAGTCTGTTTGCATAAACAAACAGTTTTGCCTGGCTCTGAGTTAGCTTCTTTTCTCTGTACCTCTTTCACAGTATGGCAACCCGTCCTCCATGTGAAACGTGTTGCCCCTGATTGGCTGTTGGCAGGCGGCGCAGACAAAACAAGACACATGCCAGGTCTGTTTTAGAGCATTCATGATTTCCTGCAAGAAAAATGAACCAAAAATAAACTTTCATACTGTCACATTGTTCTAATGGAGTGTATTTGTGAAATACCGAATCAGATCTGCTTCAATAAATTTAAAAAGACTTAAACTATAGAGATTTGAGGTTTATGTTTTCTTATGAGCATCAAATAAAAGTGGGATTTTGCTGACCCTTGTCAGTGATCTTAGTGTTACTAGCTGCTCATCAGCTTTAATATAGCAAACGTCTACATACAGTAGTCCCTCGCTACTTCACGTTTCGTTTGTCGTGGACTTGCTTTCTCACGGTTTTTCAAAATAAGATTGGACATGAAACACAATTGGCTGATTGATGGATGACCTGCACAATCAGCATGGAGTTTTTATTTAAAATAAATCACTTTCAATTTCTGCTGCACCTTTGTGCAGCCCACACTGCAGGATAAGTCTCCTACTGCAGCTGATCGGCTGTTCTCTGCGCAGAGTGGAGAAGTGGGCGTGGCCAAGAGCGCTTGCATGTGGCAAAGAGCAGACGAGACAGAGAGCTGAAATCATGACATTCTGTGCTCTTTTAGAGCTTTAGAGTTTAGAAACATTGTTTAGAATATTGCACGAGTGTGGGAGAGTTTAAAACGCCATATATATTATATATAATAAAATAAACTACTACTTACTACTTGTACTACTATTCCTACTTCGCGGTTTTTCACTTATCGCGGAGTTTCAGGGTACCGATCCCCCGCAATAAACGAGGGACTACTGCATAACATTAAAATAAAAGACACAGAAAAGTTTATGCACATAAACTCAAACGCACAGTAACAGACCGTTTCTCCCTGTATATCGTCTCACAGACACGGATGTAATGAACATGCACTCAGGTTTTTAAACCCACCCCGAGAATCTTCTGGTGGCAGCTGGCACAGGTTGGAGCAAAGAACTGCTCGTAGCAACGCACGCAGTACACCTGGTCCTTCTCTTCCACGAATCCACGTTCGCCTAGGGAGGAGTGGCAGCGAGCGCAGTTGAATTCCTCAGGGTGCCACGACATGCCCATAGCCACAAGGAACGGGCCTCTAGTATAAACATGTGAGGGACAGAGATTCTGATTTAACTTTTCCAATCCTGCAAAAAGCCTTTGGTTGCTTCAGATTCTTTTCTGTAAATGTGGTTTTCCTGACGTACCTGATGACCTTGTTGCACTTGCAGCACATCGGGGTGCGGGTACCAGCTGGGATGTGCTCGGCACGCTGCACCAGGGAGTTCAGATCCTCTGGATGAGGCCGTGGAATGGGATGGTCTGCTCCTTTTGGAGCAGGATTGGCAACTTTTCCAAATGAAGGACCTGCACCCACTTTAGGAGGACCTGAAGTGGTAACATATTCAGCAATCAACGCTAAACTGGAATAGCTAAAGTAAAAAAAATTTAACAAGACAAACAATGCATGGATTATATTGTAATTGTAACTTTTCTGCAATGCTTGCAATAAATATGAAACATAATGAAATTTATTTTTTTTTGTTTTGTTGCGCAAGTGTGAATGTAATCAACAATATCCATCGTGATAGAATAAAATCATTACATTTCCTTAAAAACCACATAACCTAACCGAAGGCATGTCAGTGTATTTATATAGCACATAAAAACAACAAAAGTTGACAACAGTGCTTTACAATTTAGCCAAATTAAAATAAAAACAAGAAGACCAAGAAAATGCATCTTGTGTCACTAAGGAAACAAGAAAGTTAACAATAAAACAACAACAAGAAAAAACAGCTCTTAACTTGTTCTCAAACTCTGCCTGGATGAAATGCCAGGTAAAAAGTATTGAGTCTTGAGCAAAGATTTAAAAGTTTCATGAGTCTCAGCGGTCTTTAAATGATCAGATAAACTTTTCCACAGTTTTGAAGCAGCAAATGCAAAAGCCCGATCACCTCTGGATTTCAGTTTAGATATGGGGACATTAAGAGAAGCTGATCGGTAGACCGAAGTGTAGATGTTAAGAAGATCACATAAACATGATGAGGCAAACCTTTAAAAACGTTAAAGAACAAGCAAAAAAAATCTTAAAATGAGTCTGGAAGTGGACAGGAAGCCAGTGGAGAGGAGCCAGGACGGCGGGTTATGTGTCCATCTTTTCCATTTGCTGTTAAAAGATGCGCTGCTGCGTTCAGGATGGTTTGTATGCAATGTAAAATGATGTATCCAAATCAACATACAAAGCATTACAATAGTCCAAATGAGGGCAATAAAAGCATGAATCGCATTTTCAAGGTCTCTGAAACAGAGACAAGACTTCACCTTGGCAATGAGTTAGTTGGAAGAAACTGGATTTCACAACTGCATTAATCTGTTTGCACTATTGTAAAGAACTCCCAGATTCCTGACAATGGAGTGGTTGTATGAAGCCAAGGGGCCAAGAGTGTCAAGGACATTACATTTACCAAAGCTAATGACTACAGTTTTATTTTCATTTAGATTAAAGAAACTTAGTTTCAACCAGACTTTAATGTTGTTTAGACAGTTCCAAGAGTGGCTCCAGTGGAGTGACCCTGTCTAACTTAATGGGCAAATACAACTGAATATCATCTGCAAATAAAGCAATGAAAAGGGACGTTACGTTTTTTAAAAATTGACCCCAAAGGCAACATGTAAAGATGACAAAGCAGTGGACCTAAAACAAAGCCTTGAGGGACCCCACAAGTCAGAGGAGCTGCAGATGAAGAAGATTCCCCTAAATAAACAGGAAAACTACTGTCTGTCAGGTAGGATCTAGACCAGGATAAAACAGTGTCTTTGATACCGACCACCTGCTCAAGTCGTGACAACAAGATGGTCTGGTCCACAGTATCGAAGTCAGCAGAAAGGTCTAGAAACACTAAAACAGCAGAGATTCCTGTATCAACAGTTAAAAGATCATTAAAAACTCCTTTAAAAAGCTGTTTCTGTGCTGTGGCCTAATTTAAAACCCGACTGAAAATTTTCACCAATGTTGTTAGCAGTTAAAATCTCTTAAATTGATTAAAAACGATTCTCTCTAAACATTTTTTGACAGAAAAGGCAGTTTAGAAATAAATCTATAGTTGAACTGAACTGAATATGATTTTTTTTCTACTTGAAAGCTGAAGATGAAATGTAAAATGCGTCTAAAAAAGCTTCAGTACTTGAGAGAAATAAAATAAAATTAACAGCGACAAACACACAAGTCCTCTTACATTTAGTGATTTAGTGCTCAGATGCATCGTTAAATGGGTACTTACGGTTAAATTCACCAAATTATTGCCTTTTTGGATAAATAAATGAATAAACAGGTTGAGGCCCTGCACATTCCACTTAATCAACCCCCTCCTCCATGAAATCTGCACTTGTTTACTTGAACTCAAGTGTGTGCTAATCTGATAAATGAGCCAACAGAGAGCTACTGTGTCCTCTGCAGCTCTTGGTGGCATTTCTTTCGAGAAATATGTCAAAGTACATAAGAGTATCTGTTCATGTGTGAGGGCAGACTTTTTTTTTCTTAGTAGTATTGCTAATAATGACGGATGCCTTCCAGCAACTATGTACACTGACCCGCCCGAGGTCTCGTGGAAGGGATTGCTGGGTTTCATGAGCAGCTTTCACACAAAACAAAACCCGTATTTCTCACTTTAACAATTTATTTGACTAAAGGGAACCTTTGAAAAAATTTATAATTTGCGCTCATTAAGTAAATACCTTTAGATTTTATAGAGCCCATCATCCTAAATGGTCAAGACTCAGGTATTATAAATGTTCTAGCTGAGGTTTAGTGATTTAAAAAGTTATGCTGCCCTCTGTAGACTGAAAAAAAAAAAAAAAAAAAAACATGTACAGAGGAACCACAACCATTTAGGCAGGTGTAAAAACTAAAATAGAAACAAGGCAGGTGAGGATGTACAGTAGCTTACCTGATAAAGCTCCAGGCTGGAAGGAGGGCTTGTTCTGGGCAGCAGGACTCTTGTATGTAGACGCAGGGACGACATTACTGTTCTTCGGTGCCACTGCAGATTTGGAATAGGTTTTCGTTGCAGGCGATGTGTGTACAGCGGGAGTAATTTTATCAACTGCCTCACTAGAAAACAAACATTTTTTTTACTAATCATAACACAGACATACACAACATTGCAAATGCAAATACTCTGTCAATACTGTTGTATTGCCTCTGACTTGTAATTTACCGTTAAGCTGAATAAATGGCTTCTAGACGGAATTTCAATGACAACAACATTTTTAAATATTGACATCTAGCACTAACGGTGGGAATGAATGAGACAGTACAGACAAGCTGGTAGGACCTACAAAAGTGCAGATTGGTTGTTTAGCTGTAGGCAAATAAGAGTAAAAAGCTTTTTTGCACATGGATATGCCCACCGTGCATGAGGTTTCACTATCAGTGACACCAGGGAACAATCACTGGAGATGATACCACAGTGTCTGCTGTACAGTAGTCTCTCGTTTATCGCAGGGGATCCGTACCCTGAAGCCCCACGATAAGTGGAAAAAACGCGAACTAGGAATAGTACAAATAGTAAGTAGTACCAGTAGTTTATTTTAGTATTTATGTATCTATACATATAGAGGTGTTCTAAACCCTTCACACACTTTTGAACTTTTCTAAACAATATTTCTAAACTCTAAACGCTCTAAAAGGCATGCCATGAAATCAGCTCTCTGCCTCCGGCTGCTCTCTGCTCTCTGACAGCGCTCTCAGCCACGCCCACTTCTCTGCTGCAGAGCAGAGATATGACACGATGCAGGAGGAAGCTTCTCCTGCAGCAGTGGGCTGCACACAGGTGCAGCAGGTGCTACATAATTTCAAATAATTTATTTTAAATCAAAATTCCACGCCCATTGTGCTGCTCATCCATCAATCACGTCCAATCTTATTTTGAAAAACCGCAATAGAGCGAGTCATCGAAAAATGAACCGCGAAGTAGTGAGGGACTACTGCACACAAAATTCCCGTCCTCCTTCAGCTCCAACATTTAGCAGCACTCACATATAAACCATACATTGTACCAGTCTTTTATAATGATGATTATTATTTTTATTAATCTCAAACACTTTTTTGACGTTTTCTTAAGAAAAATCCAAAAAACACAATGTAATTTAGGAAAAATTGAGCAGCACGAGTCTTTCTATAGTATCAGTCCTTGTAATATTTATCACATTTTATATATAACCTAATTATTTTTGTCATTTAAAAGCAACTTTTATGTTTCAAGCACAACCAAAAACTAGACTCATGATCACGTTAACAAACAGTAAGAGACTGACATCCAAAACTCATGGTCTGGGGAAAGTTTTGTTTTACTAAACAGTCCAACCTATTGGACATCCAGAATCTAAATCTCGTCTTGTTGAGATTTATTGTTGTCCAGTCTGCTGTAGGTTTCTGTTCCAACCTCCATCAGGCTAAGGATCAAAGAAGCAATAAAGGAAGAAGAGCTAAATAAAAGCAGTAAAGGAAACAGTTTATTAAGGTAAAACCATCAACATGTGACACACAGGTTAGTAAGTTTAGAAAATGAATGGAAAAGAGAGACATGCTCAGAAAAACAAAGATTACAGAGAAAAGTGGAGGCTCAGTAATTTTCTAAATATAATCATACACATTTGCTTTCATGCATAAATCTAAGATTATCAAATAAAATACACCTTCATGACATTGTGACCATCAGTTTGCCATGTTGTTTTAGAAACAGGCATTCCACAAAAAGTCACAAGTTGGACAAATGACAGAAATACTGGTACACAAAGTTAACTGTGGTCAACATCCAAAGGGAAATGACAAAAACAAGTTGTTTACTACTGCACATTTAGTACTCGAGCTGAAACATCGTGGTGCCAGTCTCTCAGCTTGTTGTACTTGTGTCCTATAAGTTCCCGGTCCAACTTGCTTACTCGGCTTTGTCCGATGAGAGAATAAAAAGGAAGAGAAAAGAAGGCAGTGAAGACAGGAGAAAAAGAGGAAGAAAGCACAGGAATGAACAGAGAAGTATTGAAAGTTCCCATAATTAGTTAAAATACAAGAACAAGGAATTTGCATTTAATATCATGAGTCCTCCATTATACGGATTAGTTGGTAATTTATTATGGAGGGCAGTCTGGATTTTATTGTAGATTAAATTGATTCTTCTCTGAGAACATTAACAAGAATAACATGTTGATTCTAATTCTGTCTGAACTCAACCATTTCCACTGAGCTCTAAAGGCAATTTGCTCCCAAATTAAAGTTTTAGAACACAAGGTTAGAAAATCAAAGATTAAATTTAATCCCTTGCAATATGAGATTTAAGAAGCCAATCCTACATTTGAATGACCTACAGTAGAAATGAGATGGAGCAAAACTGAATACTAAACAATAAAAGACACAAACCACTTACTTCTTTCCATTGTTCTCTTGCATTTGCTCTGCAACGGAGAACAAAGACAAGAAAATGTGATAAAAATTAAAATTAAAGATTACATTTTGTTTCCTTTCATCTGAGCACACCTTTCTCAGTTCCAGTAATCTGGGCAAGGATGCGGAAGGAGCGAGACTGGGAGGTGCCAGTCCGGGGGTGCCAGTCCTCCGTGTCCTCAATCAGGCGCTTCTTGCTGGCGTCACTCATGAGGGATGCGTTATTTTCAGGCTCTGCGACAGGCTTCCTGTGCAGTCAGAAAAACTATTTGTAGTATGACAACTTTGTGTTTTCAGCAGGTAACAATGTGATCAGCACTGCTCAGGTTGTAATAAAAAAAAAAAAAAAAAAGTCAAGTTAGAAGAAAAACACCTTAAAAACAGAAGAACACTTCTAATTAAATGCAATACAAACAACTCTTGTTGACATCAACAGGCAGAATTTATGAAATCATCACTCCTGGAGGATTTTAAATATGTTGTTTTAACTTATCTTTTTGTTTTAATGATCCAAAACAAATTATTTCTACAGCTGTCCATGCTGGTTTGGTTTTAAATATCTAAAAAAAAACATAAATGCAATTAAGCCTCCCCCCCCCCCCCCCCCCATACATCAGAAATAAAATAATATTTCGATACCACTTTACAATAAGGCTCCTCTTATAGATGGGTAATAAATAGTTTATAGATATGTTAATTCCTTTATAAACACATTATAAATAATTAATAACTGCTTAGTATGCATTAATTAAGGGTGACAGAGACAAAACTGACCAGTTTCTTGCCAAATAGTGAGCCAGATCTGTTCACCTACATATTTCATCTAGACTTCTTATATTAAACATTTCCCACTAAGTTACTACCTTGTAAGCACATAAGCATTTGTAAATCAATTTCTTTAGCATATAATATTGTACTTTATCAATACAATATAAGTATCTATAGTTGTAGATATGGTACTTATAATGTAGTGATAAAGTACAATATTATATGCTAAAGAAATTGATTTACAAATGCTTATGTGCTTACAAGGTAGTAACTTAGACTGACATGTTTAATACAACAACTCTAGATGAAATATGTAGGTGAACAGATCTGGCTCACTATTTGGCAAGAAACTGGTCAGTTTTGTCTCTGTCACCCTTAATTAATGCATACTAAGCAGTTATTAATTATTTATAATGTGTTTATAAAGGAATTAATAACGTATCTATAAACTATTTATTTCCCATCTTATTATAAGGAGCCTTATTATAAAGTGGTACTGATATACCTTGTCTAAAACAAATCCAGTCAAACATGGCTGCTAAAATATTTTGTGACACGTTTTCATTATGTAAAGTTCAATCATCTGCTGCCGATTGATAAAGTTGAAAACTGACATGATTTTTTTTCCTTTTTTTTTATCAAATATATCCCTCAAAAATGTGTGCCGTCATGACCACAACGCATTAAAAGTTGTATTTTTTTCCTCTATTATTCTACAATATCGTCTTCCACTTGTTCTAAAACTACTTTAAATGACAAGCTTATACAGAGCATACATTTCTTGTTAAATGTTTTGCACCACCACCTCCTCTGTTTTTAGTCACAAAATAAAATCAGCTGACATAAATCAAAGAGTAGTGATTTCATTTTAATTTTAACTAGAGGTTTTACAGCAACCACATGCAGTTCACAGCGTATTTACATTATGTGCAACAAGTGCTCGAAATTCACTCCAAAAAAAATAATCAAAAAGGTGAAACTTAAATATTAGGACTTTGCAGATGTTTGATTTTACATTTACCTCCTGGGTCTAGCTGGAGGTGGAGTTCTGCAGATGAGCAATGAGAATCTTGTGAGGGATAATGCACAAACACTAAACTATCACAAACTTACACATGGCTGCTGATGATTTTAGGACATAAAAATGTGACTCACTATTGCAGGGATTACAAAGCTGTAGTAATAGAAATATTTAAAACACATAATAGATTAGCATACTGCAATACAATTTTTTAATTAAAAATAAACCAGTGGGTGTGAGTCACAGCTGCACCACAAGATGGCAGCAAAGCTCTTTCAACATAAAGTTAAGTTTTCTATTAAAAAAAAAAAAAAGTTCTAAAATAGGATTATTTATTCTGAGTGCTCGCATGCACAGATCAAGTCAGTTAATTGTCAAGTACCCCACACTCCCAGTTCAGGCACTGATTACTGACCACTGGTTTGTTTGAATCCTAAAATAAGTGGCTGATGTTAGTTGAGGACTTTGAAGAGTAAGCATGCTTTTAACAGTCGTAAACCAGACAGATGTGGAGGCTGTAACATAATCAGACGTGGTTAGACAGATACAGCAGCAGCCATGTGTTTATCAATCACGGCACTAACTTGGTGTTTGTCTCTTCGTCCTCCTGTGGGCAAAGAAAGGGTACGTGGGAAAGAATTCAGGCCAAAAAAGAGAAATAAAACAAGCAACTTGAGAAAAGAAATGAGCCCTTCTGTGAGAATGTTCACAAAGAAAAACACAGAAACCACGAAAAGGAAACATGCGGGTTGAGACAAACACGCACATGCTTTTACAAAAACACTCCAAGGTCTCAGACTTCAGTGTCACGAACAGTTTTTTCCTGCAATTTTGGAATTTGAAAACCATAAAAATATTCTGCAAATACAATCTCCAATTGATTTGATCGGTTTTACCAATCCAGATTGGGTAAACTCTACAGAACGAGGCAAAAGTGAAGGAAACAAACCAATGAGCAAAAAAACACTGCAGCTGAAGCCTGGCCCTCACAAACTTTACTTTATGTTGGAGCAGATAAGATCATGAGATTTCTGTTCACAAATAACTGCCAAATCATAATAATTTTATTAATTTACTGCACTGAATACTTTGCCCTATTTGCAACAATCTGAAGTAGCCTCAAATGTCGGTTCTCCTTTTTTCTAAATTAAAATTTCAAAATGTGCCCATCACAATCAATTACCGTATTTTCCGCACTCCAGAGCAAATGTCGCATGCGTCAAAAAATGCCTCATGAAGAGGAAAAAAAAAAGAGATATAAGTTGCTTCGGAGTATAAATCGCATTTATTATACGTCACCGCTGACCCCCGGGAAACGTGGGTGGGTGTCGTGCCAAAAATCGCTTGGCGGCCGCGGGAGTGCCCACGGGAGGACTCACTGTTGCAGTTCTTAACACCTAAAAGCAAAGGTGTGTCTCAGTTTCACTTTTCCTTAATAAATGCACTTTAATGGTCAAAACAGCTTCATTTCGCTTGGGTGGCGTGGTCGTGTTGCACTGAGAACAGTCCATCCCAGTCGGCAGCCATGCCGAGGGCGAGGGGGCCCCGTCCCTCCACCACCAGAGCGGGGAGGAAGGGTGAAGCAAGGCGCGTGGTCCGTGGTCCTGGGAGGCAGCGAAGTGCAGTTGGGGGAGCGCTGCAGCATTCCTCTACAGCCAGAGCGGTTCATGTCAGTATGAATGAACATTTAACGTGTCAGTCAAAAATGAAGTCATGAATAGGGAAAAAGTCACTTCGGACTATACGTTACAAGACTGGCCAAACTGTGAAAAAAACAGCAACTTAGAGTCCGGAAAATATAGTAACATGATTAAGTTAAATATAAAACCACTGAAATGCAGTCAGCTGACCATCATACTGTACTCCAGGGTGCTGAGAGGCTGCAAACAGAAACATCTAGGAGAAACTAATCTGACTGTACAAAATGTATTACAATCAGCTCAGATATAACTTCCATAAGCAACAATGTATTTGTCACATGCGGATCTGTTGGTACTCTCCAGAGACACATTAGTATTTGGGCTGATTAAAAACAAATGTTTCATCAGGGGTGTCTTTTTAAACTAAGTGTGGGTTCAAACCAGTGGCATCAGGATGTAAGTTATCCTCTCTCTGCAGCCGCCATGATTAAAACGCAAAAAGCACATGTTTGAATTAACAGTTTGTGCGTTTAATGTTTCAAACAACCACTTTTTTCCCCAAAATAATCTGCCTTGATAAACTAAAACATGTAAGCAAAACAATGTTGGGTTGGGGGGGGTGGTACCTACCCATTGACATGCTCTGAAAGCCCCTGGCTCTCCAAAAGCCCTCGCATCTGTCCCATAGCTACTTCAGAGGCGTTGGCATTGGAGTACAAGTTGATGGGAGTGTTATAGACAGAGGGCTGTGGGACATTAGGATGGGAGGAGGTGGCTGTCACTTTGGCTGGGGAGGAGGAGCTAGACGAGGTGGAGGAGGCAGACGGGGAGGAGAAGGTGGAGTGTGCGGTGCTGACTTTGGGGGCTGAGTTTGCTGCAGCTGAGCTGGACTTCAGTGCAAATGGAGGCTGCGGTGGTTGAGAGGGGGCAGCTGGGGTGAAAGCGGAGGACTCAGAGGGGATAGAGGCAACTTTGGGAGCAGCTGGGGAGGAAGAAGCCGTGACCCCGCTGCCACCACCCCCAAACGGCCGAGCGGTCTTGTTGTATGCAGGACTGGGCTGATTTAGCGGCTTGGTGAAAGTGGTGCTCGGAGCAGGGTGAGTGATTGGCACAGGCTTAATGATTTCCTGTGGCTCGTCCTGGATGAAGGTGAAGAGAGCATGCACAAACAGCAAATCCACAAAAGAACATCATGCACTGTAACTCACAGCAGCACAATCAAATACAAAACATTCACTGCTGGATGAATGAAACTTGCGTTTGTGGCATTCAAGTACAAAAGCTGCTCTAAAACAAAGCTTTTCGGGCCATTTATACATGCAAATCTGATTTATGCTTGGACGTGACTTCAGAAGCATGCTAAAAAATAAACACTAGATGAGTGGGAAGTGGTTTTAAATAAATGTTTACCTTGTGCACTTCATCTTTAGAGACAGAGGAGGGTCTGTGAAAAGAAGAAACAGAATTGTTAAACTCATCGCTCACACATCTTTACAAAACCAGTTCAACATTTAGGGCTGTGGGTGGTGTTAAACTTTCATTTATAGACCAGAAAATAGACTAATTCATTTACAAATACCAGAGTGTCCTGTAAAGAATACAAATATATGACAAAAATACCCCTTTTTGTAAAGTTGATTCAACATTTGGGGATAAATCCTGCATAATGTATCTGCAGTGTAGCTTTAACACTTAAAACAGTGAAATGTCAAATATAAAACTAATTAAAGTGCAGCAGGTGATTCAAACATCTAGATAATAAAAGTGCTCACCTTGACCACTGTTTAAGCTTCACAAAGTTTAATTATCTAAAAATATTTTACATGTGTTCACATATTACAGTTCATTACTGTCCGGCCTGTTTTTCTCTTCTTTATTATTTTTTGAGATGAACTGAAAAACAAAAGTGTATCCAATAAACTTCCATCTCCCTTTTGGGTTTAATATGCATCAAGCATAGTTTACTGCAGTATTTCCATTTTATTTTTATATGACAGATAAATCACTTTAATTTTTAAACAGAAGAAAAACAAAAAGAAGAAAGAATAAAAGAATGAAAAAAGAAAGAAGATGGAAAAAGAAGATTTTGATTTAACAAAACTTTATTTACACAATAAGGAGAAGAAGGAGAAAGAAGAACAAGAACGAAGAAGAATGAGAAAAGAGAAAGGAGAAAGAACAGCAACTAACAAGAACAAGAAGGAAGTAGAAAGAAGAAAGATTTTTTTTTATTTTTAACAAAACTATTTGCACAATAAGAAGGAGAAAAGGGAGAGAGAAGATAAAAGAAGACATAAGAACAAGAACAAGGAAGAAAGAAGAAGAAGGAGAAAAGAGAAAGGAGAAAGAACAGGAACGAACAAGAACAAGAAGGAAGAAAGATTTTTTTGATTTTTCACAAAAAACTTTATTTACACAATAAGTTACCAACAGTGTTAAAAAAAAGTTGATCAGGACAAGCTTAAAATAAAACATTTACATGAGGAGCTTGTTGTCTTGCAGTTCTCCCTGATCAGAAAATGGTGCATAAAACCTTCTTAAATCCCCAAAGTTTCATAAAGTTCTCCAAGTGTCCAGTGTCTCTGTGGAAGCAAAACTCCCAACGACAATCTGGCCTTGACGTTGCACTTCCACAGAGCCACGGCATCAAGTTGGGGTCCAGCCTGCAGTCCGTCGTTGCGAGACAAGTAAACAGCCATTTTTGCTTCGGCTACTAAAAGTTTAAAGTTTGCGATTCAAACTTAGTGGCTTTGCTGTAATGTACTCCATTAATAAAAACAGATTTGGTGAAAACTGCGTCAAAAAGACTAAAAATCCGCGTCATTAGATTAAACAGAGCCGTCAGCCGTACACAATCTGTAAAAACATGAAAAACACTCAGACAAACTGCAAAAAGGACGCTCGGTTAAAACATCAGGATTTATGATCGACAAAAAAAAAGAGTTTGTTGCAATGGCGCTGTGAAGGATTCTCCACTGAAGATCGCCAGTCTGTTTTTTTGTTGGAGTTTTGTAAAGTGTCCTCCACTAAGACGAAGAATGAAGAAAAAAAGAAGGGGAAAAGGAGGAGAAAGAAGAAGAAAGAAAGAAACAAGAACAAAAACAAGAACAACAACAAGAAGACTTACAAATACCTGAAACTTTAAATGCAGACAGAAACCTTTTTTTTTTTTTTTTTACCAATGTCTCCTATATTCGGTATCAAAATGTAGGGAATGCGTCTCTTATTTCTAGTAAAAACAAACAAAAAAAAAAACAAGAGGGAGGTGGGCTCATGGCTATGCTATGACCCCTGGCTCCCTTCCTGCCTCTGCCTATCAGAAAAACAGTCAACAAACTCTCACATTTCCTTTCCGACTGAGCTGAAGCTCACAAACCGAGCCGAGAACCAGGACCAGCCCCGCCCAGCAGCAGATGCTGACGCCATCTGTAACCATGCTTCCATTTACACTTTTCCACTTAACAGCTAATACACAAGTTTGCTCACTTTCCACCGAGCCCCCCCGATGTATCATTGTATTTGTTTATGGAGAGACACCAGGCAGCGCCAGGGTAAACTCCAAAAGGTCCAGAGATCAAACAGCACGGCCCTTTTTGAAGCCGTCCCAGTTAATAATAAGGCAGTATGTATCGGCTTTAAGCGTCCTGGGCTGGAGGCACCGGGTGGACTGCCTTTGTGTGTTTTCCCAGAGTTCACTGAATAAACAGTTGACAGGGTGGTCCCCCGAACATCTGCTCAGCCATAGGTCTCTGCTGTCCTGCTCTATATGGAGCCAGACCCACTTTGGTTCTGCTATCACAAAGAGACAGAAGCTTATGACATGTGTTGCATTTGATGTTCAAGTATAAATGGTTATGAATAATAACGTTTACTGAGATTAATACAAAAGCTACTTGTTCGTCATGGAAAAATGTTCTGGCAACTTTAAGGTTCTGCTGGTTAGTTCTGAAACATCACGTCAGTGTGTTTAGTGAAAACACCCCGCCCGCCCAGGACACACAACTGAGTGATTCTGGTTAATTATACATTATATATAATTAGGACTTGTGTTGCACAAATGTGTAACTGAATTAAGCTCCATTTAGAACAGTTCAGTACTTTATAAAAAGCTGAACATGTGGGAGGAACAGCTTAATTTGGCGTGATACTGTAAATTTGTGTTTATTTGTGATTCTAGTACAAGTATACTAGTTTATATTTAGAGCTGAAAATTGCATTTCCATTAAATAGTTCAGATCTTTTAAAGTGGGGTTTAAGAGAAGATGATTAATTACAAATATCTTACCTGTTGTAGATAGCTCTATGTCCAACTTCAATTTGGAGAAATTGGAGTTTAATTCTGAGAAGTTTTTTTTTTTTAGCTAACAGGGTGTCCAAGCAGAACCATGACCAAACTGGAACATTTAAAAAATAATAATAATTATAGACGTTTATACCATTGTTAGTTTGTAAACTTTTCATCATCTTCATCAACTTTGCATCACACAATTAACCAGGCACAAATACTGTAATATCACAGCCAGAAGTGGCCCAGCTAAACGAGTTGTAATATTATCCAAACTCAGACACTATAAAGCAGGTTTACCACATTTTAACTGTGGTAAAATTAAGAATGTTGAGCATCTTGTTAAGTTATATTTTGGTACTGGTTTTACAAATAAGGAGATATTTAATCTGTTAGCACATCAGCATCAGATTATTATCAGTATCAGGACTTTGAACCTGCTTACAGTAAGGTGGTACGCTCTGATGGGCTGCAGCAGCTCTCTGCAGGTAAAGAGCATTTAGCTTTGGATTGATCATTTGCTGACACGCCTACTGGATTGACTGACAAGTTGCGTCATGGATCTGACTCGTGGAAAAAAATAAATAAACGACAGCTGTAAAAAAAAAAAGAGTTTCGTACGGCTTTATTCTTGTAATTTTATGGCTTTTAATATTTTTTTCGTAGCGTTGCCCTAAAGCTCGGTCGTATATATTTTTTTTTTCGTAGTTCTGATAATATTCCAACTTTATTCTGGTAATATATTACGAGTTTATTCTCATAATATTATGACTTTATTCTTGCTCGTAATGTTTTTGTTGTTTTTTTTCCTTAGTGTGGCCCTAAAACTCTGTCGTATCAACACTGACTTGCTCTGTGTACCATTCCTGGGAAAAAAAAACACCCACACACGCACAGAGACAGAGATACTCTCACACCTCCCATATAAGAAACAGAAGTTAACAAGGAGAGGGAGCCTGAGGGCTAAACACTGACGCATTTCCCCCCACCCTGTGTCTCTTTGACGGCCAAGACAAACATTCTGGATTCTGACATCTGACTGAATGATGGAAGACTATTTTATCAGCACATGCCTCAACAGCTAATCTTTTTTTCACACAGAACAAAAATGATCTTTTATTTTCTTTATGCTCTTGTCAAACCCAGTTTTGCAAGTTAAACACTAGAAATAATAAAAACATGTTTAAATGCCGTAACCCTGTAATACTAAATCATCACCTCGGTCATCTACTGCATTTCATGGTGTTCACAGCTGGGTTTAATAGAAATAAATTAAAAGCAAATTGGGAATCAGAGTTTGTCAATGTCATCATAGGATGAACTAGAAGATAGGGTTGAGTACTAATACAAGTTTTATCATTCAAAATCCAACTAACCGATCAAGGTTTTCTAACAAATGAGACAAATTTGAATGTTTTTTTTTTTACCTCCCCCTTTATTTTACAGAAACAAAACTTCACTAAAAATAAAATTGTGTGAGACAATTACTCTCAAGTGGCATTTTATTTATTTATTTTCAAAACGTCCATGTGGGGTTAAAGATTAACGACTATAAAAGCACTAACAGCAGCAGAAATGTGCTCTGCTGCACCGGTGTAAACATTAATCTGTATTTAGCAGACTGTATGCTGCTGCTGTCAGTTGCCTGGATACTTCAATAACAGGCTTTTTGTTCAGTGTGCATGTTTACTGCTTGTGCACACGTATCAAATAGAAGCCCTGTGCACGCGTCCGGATCAGCAGTCACGTGTGTTGCATCGAGCCATCAATTTCCATGAACAGTAAAGCTCCTTGCTGAAAATCGAATCCCAGTCATGTGCTTTTATTTGGACGATACAAGTACAGAAAACAAGTCGAGTTCCTGGAGTAAAGCCAGCCATTTAGATTTGCTATTTAAATGCATTCAGCAGTTCAAGCTGCAGGTTCATAACAAATAAAGAGCATTCTGGCAGATATTCTCATGGTTAAATCACTGCAACCACAACAGAATAAACTATCCTTCAGTTTATGTGCCTCTCAAATGTAAATCCAAACAATGGAGAAAGCCCTACATGGCTACTTTTCTTCCGACCACAAAACAAAAGGAAGCCAGGAATCAGTGGGGCTTCTGGGCCATCTTACTGTCCTGTACTTCACCCTGTAGAGCTGTAGCTCGTTGT